AATCAAATATTTCATTCCTTGGGTATTCCTTGCAGTTCATCAAGGGGGTTACAGGATCTTTGACAACTGGCTCAATCTCTGGAGTCTCTCTAGGGATGCTGTGTTCTCCTGGAGAAAGCGAAGGGTTCCGCGCAGGTGCCTGACAGACGGACACATCGTTTGGCTTTGTTCCAGATGCGGGGCAGTTGTAGCTTCCCTGAAGTGGCTCTAAGCAAAACAGAATAATCAGAGTTAGGAAGTCAACAGCTGTCAGTTCTTGGAATTAAATACTGTGCCTTAGTTCATGCACTACAGCAGGGGCCCCCAACCTTTTCTGACACGGGATGGTGGGTGTGGCCACAAAAGGGTCACCAAGGCAGGCAGAGCCAATCACACACAGAGGAAGTCCAAGTGCAGGGGACGAACACAGGAATTTTTAAAAACGTGCTGGGAGACGAGAGAGGATAACACCAACCATGTAGAGGTAGCTGCCACCCATTTGCACTGCCAATCAGATCTCCAATGGTCAATCAAAAGGCCTGCTGGACGGGAGCCCCACCTGACTTCCATTTCTAAATACATCTGGGGGGTGCCCGGAAAGGTTTCGATGGTCACCTTGACGCCCAAGGGCGCCACCCCGGGGATCCCTGCACTATAGCAAGAACCTATAAAGCACAGAAGTTCTACAACAGGTAAGACTGCTCTTGACATGGAGCTGCGGTGGCTCAAGTGGTTAAGACGCTGAACTGCAGGCTGTGGAAGGTCAGTAGTTCAGCAGTTCGAGACCCGGGTGCCGCATGACGGAGTGAGCTCCCGTCTCTGGTCCCAGCTCCTGCTAACCTAGCAGTTCGAAAGCAAGAAATTGCTGCAAGTAGATAAATAGGTACCACTTTGGTGGGAAGGTAACAGCGTTCCGTGCACCTTGGTGTTTAGTCACGCCGGCCACATGACCACGGAAACGTCTTCGGGCAGCGCTGGCTCTTCGGCTTTGAAACGGAGATGAGCACCGCAACCCTAGAGTCGGATTCGACTGGCTTTCGAGCAAGGGACACCTTTACCTTTAAGATTGCTCTTGACAGCTACAGCCTAACTGTAACCACTGCATGACAGAGCCGGTTTTTTCACTAGAATAGGTCAGTTGTCCCAGGAATGGCACCAAACTCCTGCTCGATTGGCCTGGATGTCTCAGGCATTAGGGTCAAAAGGAGAGGTGATGTTTCCACAATGTTTTTCTCCATTTCCTCAGGCTGGGAAATTCAGTATGGATGGGGACAGGCTGCCACTCAACGGCTCACCCAGAGAAAACCGCCACGTGCCTCAGGCAAGAGGCAAGCGGCATGGCCGGTGATGGTGGGAAATGCCATTCAAGTCACAGCTGATTTATGGCAATCCCCTATATGAGCAGTGGTTTGCCATGGCCTGCCTCTGTGCGGCAGCCCTGGACTCCCTTGGTAGCCTCCCATCTAAGGTCGGCGAGCTGAGAACTGTGAATGATGGCTGCTACCGTTTATGGATCACAATGATTACAATGGTCACTAGCACTCTATTATGGTTTTAGAATTGTTTTAGTCGTAAATTATGTTTTTAATGTAATCATCTGTCTGTAAGCCGCCCTGAGCAGGTCTTGGCTCGGAGGGCAGGGTAAGAACATAAGAGACGCCAATGTTGGATCAGGCCAAAGGCCCATCCAGTCCAACACTCTGTGTCACACAGTGGCCAGAAATACCAGTGCCATCAGGAGGTCCACCAGTGGGGGCAGGACATTAGAAGCCCTCCCACTGTTGCCCCCCCCAAGCACCAAGAAGACAGAGCATCACTTGCCCCAGAGCCCCTATCTATACCTTGTGGCTAATAGCCACTGATGGACCTCTGCTCCATATGCTTATCTAATTCCCTTTTGAAGCCGTCCATGCTTGTAGCCGCCACCACTTCCTGTGGCAGTGAATTCCAAGTGTTAATCACTCTTTGGGTGAAGAAGTACTTCCTTTTATCCGTTCTAACCCGACCGCTCAGCAATTTCATGGAGTGCCCAAGAGTTCAAACAAAACAAACAAACAAACAAATAAATACTAACCAGGGCCAGCTGACTCATAGTATCACAAAATCATAGTTGGAAGGGACCTCCAGGGTCATCTAGTCCAACCCCCTGCCCAAGGCAGGAAATTCACAAATGCCTCCCCCTCCACACCCGCAGTGACCCCTGCTCCATGCTCAGAAGGTGACAAAAAGCCTCCAGGATCGCCGGCTAAACTGGCCTGGAGAAAAATGGCTTCCTGACTCCAAAGTGGCGATCGGCATTTCCCTGGGCGTGTGAGAAAGGGCCACGAAAACTAAGCACTGGGGCAACCCTTCCTGCCCTCCCTCCCATGATCTGCCTAAGTTCACAGACTCAGCAGTGCCGTCAGATGGCCATCTAGCCTCTGTTTGGAAACCTCCCATGGAGAGCCCACCACATCCCGAGGAAGCCTGTTCCACTGAGAAACCGCTCTAACTGTCAGGAAGTTCTTCCTAATGTTTAACTGAAAACTCCTGATTTAATTTCAACCCATTGGTTCTGGTCCAAGCTCCTGGGGCAACAGAAAACAACTCCGTACCATCCTCTACGTGACAGCCCTTCAAGTACTGGAAGATGGTTATCATATCACCTTTCAGGTCTCCTCTCCAGGCTAAACACAGCTCCTTCAACCTTTCCTCACAGGACTTGGTCTCCAGACCCCTCATCATCTTCGTTGTCCTCCGCTGGACACGTTCCAGCTTGTCTATATCCTTCTTAAATTGTGGTGCCCAAAACTGAACACAATACTCTAGGGTGAGGTCTAACCAGAGCAGAGTGAAGACTCTTCATAGCTTCTAAGATCTGATGAGATCGGGCTAGCCTGGGCGATCCAGGACAAGACTGCCTGACTGGAGGTGACCATTTCTCATCTCATACCAGGTCGCTTTGTACTCAGATTAAAAGCGAACTAACTGTGCAGTTCCCAGCCTGTCTGAAACCACAAATTGTCTTTTAAATCAGCCTTGCTCAACTGAAGTCAACCACAATTTGTTCCAAGGACTATTTCTTGCAGCCCACCAACAAATCATGCTTCACGATTTGAGAACTGCCTCAATGATTTGTGGCCCTATTCTGAAATCGCTGCAATTATACCTTGGCGCTTAGATTAAATTTGGTTCACACAACAGATTTAACTGTTGATAAACGCATATTCGTAATTAGAGTCTCTCTCACCACACACATCTGGGTTTCTAAACCAACGATAGAAAGCCAGAAGCACTGCTGAACGACTGGGAAAAGCACATAAATCATACCCAGTTGAATCCACAAAGAAATAACCCCCCCCACACACACACACACACATGCACACACCCATTTGCTAATCTTCAATCAGGTCACCTGAAAAGCAAACAAACCCTTAAAAATGTGGCTGGAAAGCTACAGAAGTACTGTGGCTAAACAGAGCCAGCTAAGAGAAAATCCAGCGTTAGAAGTCAGATTGTACAACAGTTACACCCCTGTTCCATCCATGCCTTCACCACCTAGAAGACGTGTAAGAAAACAGAGCTTCTTTTCAGCATCCTCTACACTTGATGGCTTTCAATTAGTTGCCAGTTTCTTTCCCTTCCACATCTGGGGAAGGGAAAGAAAGGCATTTTAAACATGCCTGGGTTCCCTGCCCGAACTTCTCCAGGTGCCCCACAGCTCCAGGTGCCCCACATGTCTGCCCGCCCTGCCAAGCTACAGGCCATAGCCATAACCATGCATTTTTACTGCTTTGGGCCCTGCTAACTTTACAACAGGGCTGTCGCTCCGCCCTGCCAGGCGTATGCCTAATGACTAGCATGCCATTCCCACACGGGAGCTAAAAATAGCTTATGGCTTGACTCGAAACCAGTCTGCATTGCCCTTAAGCGTCTGGGACCAGTCAGTCGCCAAGCCCTACGCTGGAGAGAATTCCCATAGGACCAGCCGCAGCTAGCGGAAAGGCCAGGATCACTCCAACGCAAAGGTCACAAACACTAATATACTTACTTCTCATGCCTGCCCTTCTAAAAGCAGTTGGAGCAATGCTGAGAAATTGCTTAACTAGCAAGCAGAAAGCCAAGAGAATCCAACTCCTTCCCTCAGGCACTCCACTCTGATCCAATGTTCCCTCTAAGCTGAGTTAGTGTGAGCTAGCTCACAGTTTTTTAGCCTCCAGCTCACACATTTTTGTCTTCGCTCAGGAAGGATGAGGCTCCAGAGCAAACTATTTTATGCAGTAGCCGAATCGCTCGCTCACAACTCTAATGCCCGTAGCCCACAAAGTAGATTTTTTTGCTCACAAAACTCCACACCTCAGAGGGAGCATTGCTCTGATCATACCTCATTTGGGTATGGAAGAGTACATCATGTACATTATATTATTATTCTCAGTTGTTTCCACGGAAGAGTTCTGAGGCGTCAGTGTGAGAGTCCGCTCTGCAATAGTTAATCCAGTGGCACATTTACACATGCATATGATCACGTAGGCTCCCAGGGGGAGCTATATAAATAAGCCCATGCCAGACAGTGCCCGAACTGGAACAGATTTGCATAAGAGTAAGTTGAACTCGTAACTGAAGTTTCTTTAATGCAGAGATTATATTTTAAAAGGTCTATTCACTCCAAAAGAGAACGACACATTCTAGGGCAACGGTCTCCAGAGACCAGGGGCAGACTCCAAGTGTCAGATTAGAACCTGGGAGACCCAAATTCAAATCCTGTGGCACACTGTCTCAGTCTCCCCTACGTCACAGGACTGTTGTAAGGATAAAATTGAAAAAGGGAAATGATACTGAAAGCCACTTTTGGGCCTCCTTTGGGGAGAAAAACAGGGTATGCGCGTCTAAATAAATTTATCTAATTTAGCTATATGGTGTATTTTATAGCATGTATTTTATTTAGCTCTTTAGAGCCAGCAGGGGATGAATTAGGAAAATCTGCAACCTGAAGTTTAACCAGTTGCATTTCTTCCTGTTTAATGCAGCCCTCCGGGACACGGGTTAAAAGATGATCTGGGGTACAGTGGTGAAAAAGCAGACGCTCGTTGCGATGATAAGGCTGGCCCCAGGTTTGTGGGAGCAAGACCCCATCATCGCCCTTCAGCACACGACTGGGGCTCGAGTCGCAAAGGCACCAATATTAAGGACACACGACAGCGGTGTCACCCCCAAACGTGGACGCAAGCAGCAAAGAAACCAAGAAGAGAGAGTGTAATAGACCCGCACACACATACCACTTGTCAGGGACACCAAAAATACACGAAGGAGCTGGGGGGAGGGGGGAAGCGAGGCTAGATTTAGGGGCAGGGAGCGACTTGGGTTGCCAGCTCTCGGCTGGGAAATTACTGGAGATTGGAGGGTGGAGTTTGGGGAGGGGAAGGAACTCAGCAGGGGTGTGACGCCATACAGTCAACCCTCCAAAGCAGCCATTTTTCTCCAGGGGAACTGACCTCTGTTATGCAGAGACCAGCTGTAATTCCATGAGATCTCCAGGCCAGACCTGGAGTCTGGCAGCCTTAGGAATGAGGCAATGTGCAAGCCATTCAGGGGAGAAAGTGAACCCCACTGGGTCCAGGTCAGTTCCCCTGGAGAAAGCGGTTGCCTCGGAGGGTTGTCCTGTATGGCATTTATACCCCACTGAAGTTCTTGCTCTCCTCCTCCTCCAGGGTCTACTTCCCCAAATCTCCAGGAATTCCACAACCTGGAGTTGACAACCCTAATCCCTCCCCAAACCCTGCCCTCCCCAGGGCTCACTCTCCACATCTCCAGGAATTTCCCAACCTGGAGCTGGCAACCAGTGTTCCCTCTAAGCTGCCGCAGCCAAATTGCTGGCTCACAACTTTCATGCCAGTCGCTCACAAAAGTAGAATTTTTGCTCACAAGACTCCACAGCTTAGAGGGAGCACTGCTGGCAACCCTAACCCTAACCTTCCCCCATCCCCAACCTGCCTTCCCCAGGGCTCACTCCCCAAATCTTCAGGAATGGCCCAACCTGGCAACCCTAACCCACCCCAAAACTTGCCTCCACAGGTCAGCTCCTCAAATCTCCAGGAACTTCCCCCAACCTGAAGTTGGCAACTGTCCCCAAAACCCTCCCTTCCCCAGGCCCACTCCCCAAATGTCCAGGAATTTCCCAACCTGCAGCTGGCAACCCTAAGTCCACCCTCCCCCAACCCAAACTCTGCCCTCCTACGACTCTCCCCCAATCACCAGGAATTTCCCAACCTGCAGTTGGCAACCCTAAGTCCACCCCCCCCAACACAAACCCTGCCCTCCCCCAGGGCACACTCCCCCAAATCTCCCCCAGGGTCCACTCCCCCAAATCCCCCAACCTGGAATTGGCAACTGTCCCCAAAACCCTCCCTTCCCCAGGTCCACTCCCCAAATCTCCATGAACTTCCCCAACCTGCAGTTGGCAACCCTAAGTCCACCCTCCCCCAACCCAAACCCTGCCCTCCCCCAGGGTCCACTCCCCCAAATCTCCAGGAACTCCCCCCCCCAAGCTGGAGTTGGCAACCCTGCCCTCCTCGGGGCCCGCTCCCCATCTCTCCAGAAGTTGGCAACCCCTAACTCCCCAAACCACCCCTCCCTCCCCCCCCACTTATGGGGCAGGGGGACCCCTGGGAGAGAGGGGGGGCTGCGGGCCCTTCTTCCCACGCGGGTAACACAGCGGGGGAGAAGCGGGGGAGCCGCCGGAGAGAGGTCGGGCAGGAGGGGCGCGCTCAGTCTCAGGTCTCCTCAGGCGGGCCGGGCCGGGCCGCGCGCGAGGGGCCGCTACCTTCGCCTGGCGCCGCTCCGCTCTGAGGGCCGCCCGCCCGGCCGGCCGCCCTCGCCGCCTCCGCCGCCTCCTTCCTCTCGCCTCCTCCGTACCACAGCCAGGCGAGGACGGCGGCCACCAGGGCCATCAGGAAGGCCGGCCAGAGCCCCGCCACGGGCCCGTCGTCGCCGCCGTCGTCCAGGGACAGCGCGGCCTTGGCGCCGTCCCCGCCCCCCTGGGCCATGGCCGAGGCGGCCCCGCAGCCAGCGACGCTCGCCCACCACCACCACCACGACCAGGACGACGGGAGAGGAGCCGGGCGGCCGCGGCTGGGACGCCGAGCTGAAGTCAGACGGCCCCGCCTCTCCCCGCCGGTGCCTTATAGCGGGCCCGCCCGCCCGCCCGGAGCGAGCCAGGCACCTGCCCGCCGCGGGAGGAGCCTCGGGCCCGGGCGGCGCCTCCTCCTCCTGCTCCAGCTGCTGCAGCGTCCGGCTCGGCCTCGGCGTGAGGGGAGAGCTTGTTGCGAGCAGCCAGTGTCAAAAACCGTCGTTGTTATCTGTGTGCCCTTGACACAGAAGAATCAGAGCGCCCTCTGAGCTGCGGGGGGAGTCTCGTGAGCAAAAAAAGTCTACTTTAATGTTCCCTCCAAGCTGTGGAGTCTTGTGAGCAAAAATTGTCCTTTGTGAGCTACTGGCATTAAAATTGTGAGCAAGGGATTTGGCTACTGCACAAATTAGCCTGCTCTGGAGCCATCCTGCCTGAGCTAAGACAAAAATGTGTGAGCCGGAGGCTAAAAACCTGTGAGCTAGCTCACACTAACTCATCTTAGAGGGAACACTGTTTGTGAGCTGCTGCTGGTATCAAAGTGGTGAGGGAGCCATTGGGACTGCGGCATCGATTCGTGGAATCCGGAGCGGTGCTCCCTCCCGGCTGAGTGAGTGTGAGCCAGCTCGAGGTTTTTTTAGCCTCCGGCTTCACACATTTCTGTCCTAGCTCAGGGAGGAGGGCTCCGGAGCAGTGTCCCCTCTAAGCCGAGTTAGTGTGAGCCAGCTCACAGCTTTTTAGCCTCCGGCCCACACATTTTTGTCTTCGCTCAGGAAGGATGTGGCTCCAGAGCAGACTAATTTATGCAGCAGCCAAATCGCTCGCTCACAACTTTAATGCCCAGTAGCTCACGAAGTAGAATCTTTGCTCACCAGACTCCACAGCTTAGAGGGAACATTGCTCCGGAGCAGACTAATCTATGCAGTGGCCAAATTGCTCGCTCACAACTGTAATGCCAGCAGCTCACAAAGTAGGATTTTTGCTCATAAGACTCCACAGCTTGGAGGGAGCACTGCTCTGGAGCCAAGAAAAGAGGGAAGAGGAAAGGAGGAGCGTGAGTGTGAGAGAGAAGGTGTATCTATGATCCCTCTCCCCATAGTTAATTTTCTTACCGTAACTGTTTTAATAACTGTGATACTCGAGATTACTGTTCCGAACTTTTATCACCTTGCCCTATTATTATTACTATATAAAGGTAAAGGTTCCTGAAGTGTAGTGGGTTAGACGCGTAAAGAAAGCATGGAAACTGATGTAGTGATCAGCATGGCTTTACTGGTACACAACAAGACTAAGAACTAACGGCCGGCAGGCCAACTATATACACAGTCCAGGGGCTTCCCCTGGTCCCATTGGTGGGTTTGAATCTCCCGCCAAGGTCCCATTGGTTCCCCCCAGTGGAGGGACTAGAATCCTAGTCCCATTGTTGTGCCGGACTGAAGCTCAGGAGTGTGCGCTGACCTCCGGTGGCGGTCAGCGGACACAACATCCCTCCCCCCATAGTCCGGGCCCTCCCCTAAGTCACGTAGTCCTTTAAGTACGATGGGGACCGTCGTACTCTAGCTGACCGTCGAGGGGTGGCCCCTCGTGCTTCCGGAATTCCGACCTCAGGGCCGGGTTCTGACGAGGGAGCTGGTGCTCCTGCTTCCGCCGCCTCCGGAACGGGGTTTTCCTCGACCGAAGCTGGGGCCGTGGGGCCCTGTGCCGGGTGCTCCTCGGCTGGCAAGTCCTGTGCAGTCGCCTCGGGTGTGGTCTCTCTAGGTTCCGTCTGCTGTCTCGTCTCTTCCTCCGTCTGGGACTCCGGTAGCACTCGCTGTCTGAGCTGGTCGATGTGCCTTCTCCATATCTGCCCGCACTCCATGGATACCTCGTACATCACAGTACCCAGGGGACGGAGTATGCGGCCCGCGATCCACTCCGGACCGCGGCCGAAGTTTCTGGCGAGAACCGGGTCCTCTGGGAAGAACCCCCTTGGTGCTTCCCTCTGCTCGACTGCGTTTCTTTGGTCGGGGGCCCGGTCGGGGTGCAGGCGGTCCAAAAGGATCGTTGGCTTTCGACCCATCAGTAGTTCTGCTGGGCACCTTCCGCTGACAGGGTTGGGAGTCGTGTGCTGGGTCAGGAGGAATCTGGCGATGCGGCATTCCCATTCCCCTTCCACCATCCGGCTCAAGGCCTCCTTTGCGGTTCGGACCATTCGCTCCGCTTGGCCGTTGGTTGCGGGGTGGAACGGCGCTGACCGGACATGTCGGATCAAGTTGCTGCTGAGGAACTGCTGGAATTCCTCGGACGTAAAAGCCGTCCCGTTGTCCGACACGATGGTGTCCGGCAGCCCGTGTGTGGCAAAGAGTCCTCGTAGGGCGCGGATGGTGGCTTTTGCGGACGTTGCAGCCACGGGGCTTATTTCCAGCCACTTTGAGTAGGAATCCACCGTGACCAGGAACAGCCGTCCCTGGAATGGCCCTGCGAAGTCTATATGGAGCCGGGACCACGGGGTACGGGTGGATTCCCACGCCTGCGCTGGTGCCCCCGGTGGGCTGGGTCTCACCGCCTGGCAGGGCTGACAACGCTTGACCCATGCTTCCACCTCTGCGTCGATGCCGGGCCACCAGACGTAGCTTCTTGCCAGCCCTTTCATCCGGACGATGCCCGGGTGAGCTTCATGCAGTGCCTGGAGGACCCTCTGGCGTAATGCGTGTGGGACCACGACCCTGTCTCCCCATAGCAGGCATCCCTTGTGTGCAGAAAGTTCGTCCCGCCGGGTAGCATACGCCGCGAACTCAGGGTCTGTCTTCTCAGGCCACCCCCTCACCACCCAGCCCAGAACCCGGGATACCACGGGGTCCCGAGCCGAGCGGCGGGCAATGTCCCGCGCTTGCAACGGGGCCTCCGGCAGGCCCTCCAGCTGAAGGACCCGGAAGGCTGGGGCCGGGTCCTCAACCACCTCAGGTAGTGGGAGGCGGCTAAGAGCGTCCGCGTGGCCCATGGCTTTCCCGGGGCGGTGTAGGAGCAGATAATTGTAGCCAGCGAGGAAAATAGTCCACCTTAGGACTCGCGGCGAGAGAACCTGCGGCGTCCGGCGGTCGGGCGCGAAGAGGCCGAGGAGCGGGCGATGGTCTGTGACAATGGTGAACGGCCTGCCGTATATGTAGTCGTGGAACTTCTTGACCCCGGCCACAATTGCGAGACCCTCCCGGTCGATCTGGGCGTAGTTCCGCTCCGCCGCAGAAAGGGTTCGAGAGTAATAAGCGACCGGGACCTCCCTGCCGTCGGCCAAACGGTGAGCCAACACAGCCCCGACCCCGTAAGGCGAGGCATCGCATGCCAAAACCACCGGTAATGTCTCATCAAAATGGGCCAGG